GGAGGGGCAGAGAGAGAGAGGGAGACACAGAATCGGAAGCAGGCTCCAGGCTCTGAGCTGTCAGCACAGAGCCCGACGCAGGGCTCGAACCCGCGGACCGTGAGATCGTGACCTGGCTGAAGTCGGATGCTTAACCGACTGCGCCACCCAGGCGCCCCTTCTCAGGCGATTCTAATAAGCAGCCAGGGTTTCAATTCACCAGCTTAGTGGTTCGGGGGCATTCATTGTAGGGCCCGGAGGCCTGGCCACCTAAGTAGCCCTACATAGTTTCTTTATAGCTTGCTGGTCATTGCTGACGTTTAGGATGCCCTAACCTGATTACCCAATCCTGATTACCAGGATTTTAAGAGGAAAACACTTTATATATTAGAAGTGATTTTGAGGGGCGCCTGGGTGGCTCAGTTGGATAAGTGTCTGACTTTGGCTCAAGGTCATGATCTCACAACTTGTGGGTTCGGCCCCGCAATGGGCTCTGTGCTGACAGCTCAGAGCCAGGAGCCTGATCCGGGTTCTTTCTCTCCCCCTCTCTTTGCCCCTCCTCCGCTCATGCTCTCTCTCTCTCTCTCTCTCTCTCTCTCTCTCTCTCTCTCAGATAAATAAAACATTAAAAATCTTTTAAACAACAACAAAAAAAGAAGTGATTTTGACAGAAACTCAGAGAGCCTAGGACTAAATGATACAGAGACACATATCCAAGGTTTTGTGTCACAGTTAAAGAAAATATAGAGGGAAATGGTAGAATGAGGCAGACACCCACCATCTGTCCCTTTTAATCCTCCCCCTATAGACCAATGCTTAACGTGCACCCAACAACCCTTGTTACAATGCAGTTTCTGACCCAGCTGGTCTGGGGAAGGCTTGAGGAGTAGCTGGTCCAGGGGTCATACTTACCATAGCAAGTTGCTAGATCCTACTGATGGTCAGGACTCACTCTCAGGGCCCTTTTTTGGGACCCAAACAAGAAAATGGCTTCCTCACTCCTGCAGAATGAATTCCATTGTGGTCCTTCATATCCAGAACCACTCTGCTCAAAATCATTCTTAATCTCCCACTGGACAACGTTATCAGAGGATCAGGGACTATTGAGTTAGAATGGGCTTCAAGGGCACCTAGCTTGGCCCACTGATTACCCAAGTGTGGCAATGAAACCAAGATGCAAAGGATCTGCCAAATTCACAGGCGATAGAGGCTAAGTCAAAACTGGATCCAAAGCCAGACCATGAAAGCAGCAGTTAAGGATTCTACATTAAAAAAAAAAAAAAAAAAAAAAAAAAAAAAAAAAAAAAATTTGTTTTGGTTTTTTTTTTTTTTTTTTTTTAAAGTTTATTTATTTATTTTGAGAGAGAGAGAGAGAGAGACACAGCTTATTTATTTTGAGAGAGGGAGGGAGAGACACAGCACGAATTGGGGAGGGGCAGAGAGAGAAGGAGAGAGAGAGAATCCCAAGCAGTCTCCACACTGTCAGCACAGAGCCTGAATCGGGGCTCGAACTCATGAACCGAGAGATCATGGCCGAGCCTGAAATCAAGAGGGGACGCTTAATCGAATGAGTCACTCAGGCACCCCTCTTTGTGTTATTTTCTAAATGACACACCACTTGATTATACTTAGGGAGTTTGTAGACGAATAAAGCAAGGTCAGAAAGAAATATACAACCATAAAGCTGGACCCACTGGCCTTCCGGCCCTAAGATGGGGCAGATAACGTGCTGGAGAGGCTTGCCTGTCCCTGGGACCACACAGGAGCATTGTTTCCTTTCCGGTGGGATTTCCATAAAGAAGTCTCAAGGCCCCCACAGAAGCTGCCCCATGTCACTTTCGTTTTCTGGAACCCCTTCTCAAGTGATTTTCTAAGCCCTACAGAAGAATGACATCCACTTTTGGGTATAATATCTTGCTCAATATTAAGAAACCCTCGTGTGAAACTGAAGACCTACACTGTTCTTTCAAAGGGGATTGGGGGTGTAAGGGTCATATTGCCAGAACATTGAGAAACATACCCAGCCAAGTGAGTCTGATTCTTGGTCCATTATTCGTTCCTTTTGTGGCTCCTTCAAAAAAACGGAACAAGTGCCAACGAAATCGTCAGACCCGGTGGCATTCGGAGTCCTGGGGCCATTGATGCAGCTGGGTCGGTGACAACACCGGCTCCTAGGTGTCCCCTTTTTTGCCACACTGTGTAAGCTGGACTCGTTATCATTTTTGGCCTCAAAGCTCAGGAATAGGATGAGACTGCCCCAGCAGACAGATTACCATATTATCACGCTCCCAGTAGCTATCTGAGTCTGGAATTAAGAACCATCCACAGGGAAATCAGCCTGAATGCCACAAGTCTGAATGTTAAATACAAGCACCACAGGGGCTTCCCTGGGAGGGAGGTCTGCTGGGCTCACGTCTGCCCTCTCCACTCCCAACTTTGCTTGGCTTTTGTCTTCTATTTCGTGTTCCTGGTAAATCCAATTCTGTCTCTATTACCATAGGCCACCTCAGCGCTTTCTTGGGAATTAGGTTGTCTGGACAGGCAGGGAAGCAAATACATACCTCTGGTGTCAAGGGATGAGGGTTAAGCTCATTTTCACTTTTGTGCTATTTCAAAAGATCACAAATTGTTTTCTTGGGGCCTAGTCAGAGAGACAGGAAAGAGCTGGAGGGTGAGACACCAAACTGCGGCCAGTGGTGATGTTTGAGCAATGAGCCTGGAGCTGCTTTTACATGTTTCTCATTGTCCTTTATTTTTCTTAATTGCCTTAATGGGCATGTGGTGCGCTGCAAAGCGAAGTGAAATTGTTTTCCTTAGTTGCTGTAATTTACAGAGAGACAGTTTGATCATATAACCCAGGGACTTTTCAATTCCATTGATCTTGGGGTAGAGGGAGAGGATTCTTTTTAAGTGAACGATGTGTTCACTAACGAATTCAAAGCCTATAAAGGGAAAAACCCATGTTTCTTCACCGCCCTGTTTCACAATAGCTATTAGATGACCACACCATCATCAAAGCGGTGGAAAATGTCCGTGGGAGGGGGACCGGGGCTTCAAGAGTTGCACTTGGCCAAGGCAATTGATTCCGACACCCCATCCACAGGCTGAAGGTGATGCCGTGAACCTGGGAAAGTCCAGGCCTGGTTCTGGCTGCCATGGGTCTGTTCTGATCCCAGAAGATGTGGAGGGGGTCCTGGCTCTGGGTTGCCTGGCGTCGACTGTGAGTTCCCAGCAGAGGCCTGGCGTCTCTGTCTGAGTATGACTTGACCAGCCACACACAGAGCCCGACTCGGACAGTAGGGTCTGGGCGTCCCGGGGAGCGGAGGACGCCGGCACCTCCTGACAGAGAAAAGGCCAAAGGCCACAGGCAGGGGTGCCTCCCCAGCAGTGGGGAGTGGGGGCTGGCTGGCTGGGGGCCTGGAGAAAGCCCCGCGTCCACCGAGCTGGGTCTGCACTCCTAGACGGTGCCGGGGTCCCAGGGCGCAGGGCCAGCTCCCGAGCATTTCCTGCCAGTCGCCCCGCCCATCCCGCCTCGCGCTCCGCCCACGCCTCCTCGCCCTCCTCCCCGCTTCCCGCCCTGCTCCCCGCAGCCCGCCCCCGCCCTCCTCCCGCCCCGCCGCTGGGGGGCGCCCGCGCGCCGCCCCCGCTATAAAGCGACGGGCCAGCGTCCCGCGCACCAGCGAGTGGGTTCCAGAGACGCCTAGGACGCCCTGGGAGCCATGGGCGAGCTCCCGTTCTTCAGGGCGCGCACGGCCTTGCACCCGGACCACCTGTGGATCTGGGAAAGGTCCGTGTACGTGGACGAGAACCAGCGTACCTGGCTGCCCATAATCATCGAGGTACAGCCGCCCTGGGGCAGGCGGGGCTGGGCGTGGGCGGCCGCGTCCACGCGGGTTTCTCCGCGGAGTGCGCTGGGCCACGTGGGGGGCCTGCCTTGGAGTTTGGGGTGTTTCGTGCCTCCTCTGTAGTGGCATTTATTTAGTTTTTTGCCTTTTTTTTTTTTTAATGTACCTATATGTACTTTTATTTAAAAAAATTTGGGGGGGCACCTGGGTGGCTCAGTCGGTTAAGTGTCAGACTTGGGCTCAGGTCATGATCTGACGGTTTGTGAGTTGGAGCCCCACATCGGACCCTGTGTTGACAGCTCAGAGCCTCGAGCCTGCTTTGGATTTTGCGTCCCCGTCTCTCTCTGCCCCTCCTCTGCTCGTGCTCTGTCTCTCTCTCTCTCTCTCTCTCTCAAAAATAAACATAAAAAATTAAAAAAAAATTTTATGAATATATAGAACTTACCAAACTCAACACTCGAAAAACAAATAATCCAGTGAAGAAATGGGCAGAGGACATGAATAGACACCTATGTGTCCTTTAAAAAATCAAGTTAAATATTTCCTTTTTTTTAAGTCAGGTATTTGTAGAATATCCTTTTTTTTTTTCAGCCTCTGCTTGGGGAAGATCTTCTTAAACATACCGCCCAAACCACAAACCAGAGTTTTTCACATAATCATTGTAGGTTCTGCATGAAGCATAACCCACTAGCAAACCGTGGGGCAGGGTTTGCTTCCGTGTATTTGAGAGCATTCTTAATATGTAAAGATTTACTTAAATCAATAAGAAAAAGATGAAGAAGGAAACTAAAAGTGGTTGAAGGATACAGAAAACTCTATACTAACACAGCAAGAATGGTGATTTCCACTGACATCTTGCAGGATGATCTGAATTATGTCTTGACAATTCTAATTTATTTCATAGATGGAAAATTGTTAAAAATATTTCCACTCTGGAGAGAGAGTCATTGAATAAGCCTAAGGGCCTGGTTTATATGCCAAGCACGATTCTAGACTGTTGAGGGTTTGCAGTGAATGTGATAAAATCCTACCACTTGTGAAGCTGACACTGGGCTGGGGTGAAGGACAATGAAGTAATTGAGGCTGGTGGTAAGTTGTGTCGGATGAGAGGCAGTAACTCGTGGTGTGGGGTCTTCAGGCAAGACCCTGCAAGAGTATTCATTCTCGTTTGCCTGTCATTTTAGTTGAAACCTTTGCAAACCACAGTTTTAGGCCTGCCTGCCTCGTGTGTATTTCAGAGAGTTGGATTTCCCTGAAATTTGTCCCTCTAGACGTAACATTTGTGCAGAGAGCTATCTGAAAGAAAGGGTACGAGCCCTGTGTCGATCTAGCAGAGAATGTTCCAGGCAGAGGACAACAGATACAAGAGATTACTGGGAATGTGGCATGTCCCCGAAATAGCGAGGAGGCCTTTGTGGCTGGAACAGGGTGGAGGGTGAGGGGCAAAATGGGAGATGGGGGAGGCAGGGGCCCAGATAGTGAAGGTTTCAGGTGCTTCTGCCCACGATGAGAAGCCACTGGAGGGCATCGAGCAGGGGAGTGGCGTTTTAGATGCACACCCTGGCTGTCGTGTGGGGATCTGGTTGTGGGGCACATGATCAACCAGGCAGCAAGTTAGATTTATTGCAATAGATGGGCAGTGGTGGAGGTGGGGAAAAGTGGTCTATCACCTGATTGTGGGGTCCGGGGATACGTGTCTCTCGATTTCTGCTCAGGTCATTATCTCACTGTTTGTGAGTTGGAGCCCCGTGTCGGGCTCTGTGCTGACAACACGGATTCTGCTTGGGATTCTCTCTTCTCCCTCTGCCTCTCTCTGTCTCTCTCTCTGTGTCCCTAACTGCCCCCCCCACAATAAATAAATATTAATAAAAAATAAAAGGAGCTCTATGACAAAAAAAAAAAAAAAAAAAAAAAATCCCAGAGCAGCTGAACTAAGGAAGTTCAAGGACAAACTCTCAGTTTGTTGTGTGGCCCTGTCTCGGTGTCCAGACACACGTGACCGCTGGTCGTCCTGGCCTGGCCAGAGTCCGCGAGAGGAGCATGCGTGGCTCAAGGGAACAGCGGTCACAGGCAGTTCAGATGCCGGCGAGGCTGCGAGGGTGGCAGGAAGGACTCCGGTCATCTGTGGGCCCGGGAGCCTGGGCCCTGAAGGTGTGCCCGGCCTTCCCTCCTCTTCAGATGGAGAGTAGCCTCCAAGTACTCATGCGGCAGGAAGATGTCCTCCTGGGGGGGGCTGTGTGCCCCGGCCTGCTAGCCCCCGGCCTGCTGCCCTCCATGTGGCAGCTCTACCCTGGAAGACGATACCGAGGCTCAGACTCCAGTTTCTGGCGCGTCGTGTACCACATCGAGGCAAGTGTGTCCCTTCTCCCGGGGACCATCGGGTGGCCTTGGGTGGCCCTGCGCCCCCTCCCCCACGTCTGGCCTCCGTTCCCTCCGGCTCTGCAGCGAAAACTGAAAATAACAAGGGCAGGAGCTTACAGCTGCAGGATTTTAAAGGACTGGATGAGAGAGATGTTAGAAGAAGATGAATGACTGGGGCCACCCGCTGCGGTCCAACTGAAGCCCCCTCGGCTGCAGGGGGTCAGGGAGCCTCTCCGGAGGGCAGTCAGGGGGTGAAGGCCTGGTGGGGAGGAGGGGCTCCTAGGATCCCTCGCCCCCAAGCAGGTTCCCGCCTCCCGCTCCAAACTACCGGGAGGCCCAGAGCCAGGAAGAGAAGGATGGAAGGATGCCCAGGGCTCCGGCCATTGGTCCCCTTCTCTCATGCAGTTCAGTGGCACGGAGGAGATGCTCCTTGAGCAGCTGCCGGACCCGGAGTATGAGTGACGAGGTAAGTACCTTTGGGGCGTGAGACCTGTTAGTCTGGAGTGACCAGGTCGGGGAGAAGGAGCAGCCTTTTCGCCACGAAGGCAGTGCTGACTTCCACCCCGACCGTACTGCCCTCCGAGGGTCTCGGGGGGGGGGGGGGGGGGGGGGGCTCTCCCCTCTGCCGCCTCGGAGACTAATAATTTTTGGGCAGCCCCCTTACTGCACATCTGTACCGCGCCTCACAGGTTACGGGCATTGTGGATTATCACGCCAACTGCGCCGGGGATCGTTTGACTCGATAGGTCACCAGAATGAGCTTCGAGGAAGTACAGTAACTTCTTAGGTCCCAGAGCCATGTTCCAAATCCAGGCGTTCCGTCACCGGGCCCCTCGCTGTGGTCAGAGTCTGCCCCTGCGAGGCCTCAGCTCCGGGGACCCGCGCTCACCTCCAGGCTCCCACTCCAGAACTGCCCCCGCCGGCTCTGCCTCTGCCCCTCCCCCCAAAAAACCTCCCTCCACCCCACCTCCGGCCCGCCCTTCAACTCTACCAGGTCCTGCCCTTTGCCTTTGACTGTGTCTTCTCTCGTCCTTCTCTTGGTCCAGGCCCCATGGCTCCTGTCTCCTCCTGTCCCCAAGTGCTGCAGGCCTGCAGTGGGGACGTTCGTGCTTGCACTCACCCTCGTGTGCCAGCCCTGTGTGTTCTGTTCTGTGCCCCCCACCCCCCGCCCCGGCCCGGGAGAGAATGAGAGGCAGGAGACGAGCCTGCCTGCGGCCCCGTCCAGGTGCCCTGGCTGTCCTGCCCTCTGGCTTTCTCCTGGTGGGTTTTGGCCTCTCCCTTCATTCTGCCGCTCTCGGTAACTAGTGTTGTGGGGCTGCGTACCCCGGGCTGCTTCTCACTCCGTTCCCTCAGCTCCGTGTGCCTCTGGCTGCCAGGGAGCGGGACCGACTCACTCGAGCCCGGGCCAGGCCGTGGGGCCCCTGGACCAGCTGTCTCACATTGGTGCCCGTGACCGTGCTACAGAAGCCCCCCCCCCCCCCCAGCCCAAGCAGGCTGAGGTGCGGTTCCCAGGAAGGCCTGAGAGGAGCCCAGATCTGCGCCCAGAATGTCAGCAATCCACATCTCGTGATGTAGCAGGAGGCCAAGCAAGCGAGCGCCGTGGACGGGCCCTCAGGCTGCCCATCTGTCCAAGGACGGAGCTTGAAGTTGCCCCTTTTTAATGGTGCGCACACACCTGGGATGTCATGAAGTCGTGTGTAGTGTGAACACTTTGCAATGTGGATTACATGTGAAACAGTTCATCTGCCTCGGTGCTGACCCAGCTCCTATCCCTTCACCTCGATTCTAGGGGAGAGAAGCGAGAACAGGCAGTCACCAAGTAAGTTTTGGAAGGGAAAGAAGACTCATGAATTTAGTGTGTTTCTTTTACGTTGGTGACAAGGCTGGGTTGAATGATTGATTGGCATATACTCCAAATGCTCAAAACCCCAGTGTTCTCAGAGGCCCGCTTTGAGAACCGTTGGGGTAAGTGACCTCAGAAGGTCTTTGTTGGCAACTCCGGGTGTTCAAGATCCCTCTGTCTGGTCCCCCGGCCAGTCATCTCCCCCCAACCCGGCTCAGGCACTCACCAGGCTCTGTCCTTACATGTGTACCTCCGGTGCCAGTAGGAGACCCTCCTCCCTGACTGAAACTGTGCCCAGCCGCCCGGGCCTCAGCCACAGTCCCCTCCCTGCCTCTCATGCTCCGTGCTCACAGCCCAGCCCACCCCAGGCCCTGTCTCTGCTGCTTCCTTTGCCAAGATTAGCTGCCCGCCGCCTCTACCCTCTGAGAGGGTAAACGGCCTCCAGTGTCGCAGAGGGAGGCCTTCCAGTAGAAGGCATCCATCCCGTGTGGAGTACTGGTGGTCCCCACTCGTATGCGACTGTAGTCACAGGCGCGAACGGAATGATAGGCGTATTGTTAAGTATCCAATAAGCAAATTATATAAGAAAAGTACCGCTTCTCCGATTTTGTTTTCCCGGATCCCAGTCTTGGCACTGGACAGATAAACGTCGGGTACCACGTGTGACAGGGTCTCTGTCTCTTGTGATTTTAACCCCGTTGCCCTGCACGGTGCTTGGTGATGTGAGAGCTTGGTGTGTTAGAGATATTACTAGACAAGACTCTGGTCGGTAGGGACAGGGCATCAGGCTATCAGGACAGGAGGAATGTCGGAGATCAGCCAGTTGTCTCACTTTTAAGAGCAGGCCCAGGAGGAGGAAAGTTCTCATCTGGGGTTGAATGTTTGTGCCTCCCTCCGTCGCCCAGATTCATGTCGATGCCTTAACCTCCAATGTGTGTATTCAGAGATGGGGCCTTTGGGAGGCAGTTAGGGTAAGATGAGGTCCTGAAGGTGTCGCCCCAGGATGGAATTGGTGCCCTTCTAAGAAGAGGAGGACCGAGAAAGAGCTCTCTCCGTGCACGCGCACCAAGGAAAGGCCAAGTGAGGACACGGTGAGAAGACAACAGTCTGCCAGCCGGGAAGAAGGTTCTCAATAGACAGGGAATCTGCCGGCACCTCCGTGTTGGACGCCCCAGCCTACAGAACCTTGAGAAATAAACGTCTGTTATTGAAGCCACCCAGTCTCTGGCATTTTGTTACAATGGCCCAAGTGGACTGACGGTTCTTGCTCAAAATCCTTTTGTTTCTGAAAAGCGTGACCAGCCCTGTGAACTCTGCCGGGTGCTACAGATACAGCCGTGAACAGGACGAAGGCCCCGCTCTCACGCACTGCTCATTCCAGAAAAAGACGGACGAGAAGCTCGGGCTGTGCCCAGTCCTACAAAGAAAACAGAGTAGGATAACCTGACGGTGAGTTGGGTCAGATGGTGAAGAGATGGCCATCTCTGGGGGTGGCCTCTAAGATTGGACCTCGAAGACAAGAGCGAGCTAGGCTCTTAAGCCAGGGAAGAGAGTTCCAGGGAGAGGAAATGGCGAGTCCCGTGCAGGTTGCATTTTCTGTGGACATTAGAAATGGCAAGAGGGTTGCTTCTCATTAAAAGAGATGCTGTTTTATAAGAATAAGTGGCCCCAGTGCGTTAACCGTAAACACGGCGCAGAATTGCAGGTTTCCACAGCAAGAGTGACTTCGGGCTTTGGCTGAAACAGCTGAGTGGACCGTGGTGCTACCGCTTGAGGTGCAGATGTGGCCTGGAGATGTGGCTTGGGCAAAGGGAGAGAGACCAGGAGTGCTGTCTTAGCCGTGCTGAGTTTGAGATGTCTGGGATACCTCCAGTTGGAGTTGTTGCCCTCATCTAGAGCTTATCCGGGACTAACAGCATAAATTGAGGAGTCATTAAAAATATACAAATGACCATTAAAGCCGGGGCCCGACTGGGCTCACTTGCGGAGACGTGGCGGTGCCTGTGGAAGCGGGAGGAGAACGTATTTCAAGAAGGAGCCTACAAGGGGGCGCCTGGGTGGCTCAGTGGGTGAGGTTTCCAACTCTTGATTTCCGCTCTGGTCACGATCTCGTGGTTCGTGAGTCGGAGTCCCTTATCGGGCTCTGCGCTGACAGTGTGGAGCCTGCTTGGGATTCTCTCTCTGCCCCCCACCCCCCTGCTCTAAATAAATAAGCTTAAAAAAAAAAAAAAAGGAGTCTGCAGGACCTGCTGCTTGGGGCCGAGTAGAGTGACCATTGGATTTGGTCACACGGAGTCTGATGGTGACGTCAGGGAAAGTTTCCGTGCTGTGACGGGGGTATTGCCCTCTGGGGTGGGTGTGGAGGAAAGGGGAGGGGAGGAGGGTTGACCTTGCTATGAGCTCTGCTGGGGGGGTCTTGGAGAAGGTAGCTCCGAGGGTGTGTTAAGCTGGAGCCTAGGCGTGTGCACTGAAGGAAAGGTTCAGGAGAAGGGGACCGATCGATGAGGCAGGACGGGGAGGGTGCCGTCAAAGGAACAATATTCCGGAAGCTAACAGAGATGAACCCCAGGCACAGAGGTGTGTCGGCATCTGATGGCAGCTTGCAGCTTCCGCAGTTTTCGATGCCAGGACGATCTTGTTTCCTTTCTCCCTCACACAAGATTGGGTGTGTTTTTTTCTTAAGTATTTTAAAGAGCTGATCATTTCACCCACAAGCATTTTATTACATATCCTCACAGACAAGACTTTTATTCTCGATAGCCAGCATACCGTTATCCCACCTAACAAAACCAACAGTAATTCCTTAATATCTTCTCCTACCCCGTCTGTTTTCAAATGTCCTCCATGATCTCAAATGGCTTCCAACAGGTGGTATAATTCAAGATGCAGACAGCACGTGGCTGATGTGTCTCAAATGCCCTGTAATCTGTAACAGCCCTCTTCCTTCTTTAGAGCAGAGCAGGTAGATTGTCCTGTAAGACTTTCTGGATTTGGTCGATGGCATCCCAGACTTGCTGAGACTCTGGTTGAATTCTTTGGGCACGGATCCTTCATAGAGGTGGCGCCACATTTGGTGCTCGTTGCGTCAGATCAGGAAGTGCGCAGTGTCAGGTGACCCCACTCAGAGTGGTGGTTTAAGATTGATCTGTGGGCTCCGGTGTCCTCCCATCCATCCTGGTGTCCCCTTCTGAACCCGTCCTCTCTGTACCTTTGGCATGTTTATGATGCGTAGTCATCCTATCCAAGATTATTGTCTTGCCTTTTATTTGAGTCTACATTGTCTTTCGGGAATGCTTTATAGTTTTAATCATGAGGGTTTCGCACATTCTCGTGGAAGCTATTCTCAGGCATTTTATTGATTCTTTTTGTTATTATAACGATGTCTTTCCTTTCATCATCTTTAACAGGATGTTGCCCGAAGGGTTGTGTGAATACGCAAGTGTGTATAACATGAGCTATCGTTTCCTGTAAGCCAGTTTTATAGTCTTCTGTATTACTAAATTATCTCATTATTTATAGTAGTTTTAATTTACTTTTTGGGTATTCCAGATATATAATGATAGTATCTACAAATAGAGTTATTATCTCCTCTTTCTTTCTAATTCTATGGTTATAACTG